TTCACGATGAGAAGAGAAGATAGTAGTGGCACAACCAGAAATTACTTTTCTAAGATGCTCCTCTGCTTTAGGAACAAGAAGATTTAGCCTTTTTTGCAAATAGATGGTTCATTAAACACACAATTTCTAGGTTTTAAAGTAAAGCCACCATCACCCAAATCCTCCTGTACTACAGAACCTTGGTTCACTCCTAGAGCCACGGATTATCTAGCACAATTAGAGTCAAACCTTGGGAAGAAGACAAAAAGGGAAAAAAGGAGAATAGGATTTTGCAATGACCAAATCGGTATTAGCAGTATTGATAAGTAGTATAACAGTAGTGATAGTATGTATAAGCGAGAGGCGAACTCACCAGGTTTAACCAGCTTCTGCCTGGGGAAAGAGCACAGGCAAGCCCCCTCCAGCCATTACAGCCCTTTGCTCTTTATTCCCCTCAATCCAGAGCTGCCTCCCACTCCTACCTCCTTCACACCACCCACTCTCTTCCACTCAACATTTTCATTGCAGGCTTGTATTTTTTTATCCAGTCAGACTTAAAACTTCCAGCTCCACTTCCAGCCACAAGTCCTTCTCATCTTTCCAGCCCGGTTTCCTTCCAGCTCTTGTTATTTAACAAGCCCTGCTCTTTGCAGGCCTAGCTTTTCTTACTTTCCCTCCCCAGGCTGCACTCCCACAGTCCATAACAGGCAGCCAGCACCCTCCCCACACATACAGCTCTTTCTGTCTTTATATACTTAAAACCTCTCTGTGAACTTCAAAGACTCCCAAGAGTTACTGGAAACCAGCACACAGCTCAGCTCCCTGCCCTTCGGTCTGACATCAGCCCCTAGTCCGTGTGCTGGAGCACACTGAGCTCCAAGTCACAGAGACATGCTCAGGGATGGCAATATTTAGGATAGAGAAACTGAAGGACAACCCTTGATGTGCAAGCTAACATTTTTCTCAAAGGCTTGTCATGCAGTCAGAAGGCAGAACATTGACACAAAGCACACATTGCAAGTCCCCCTGACAGAGCAGCCAAAACACTGCAAGGAGCCTGCAATCACTTCTAACACTGCAGAACAAAAAAGCTTCCCTCTGCTTGCTGTCTACAGCATCGGGATTCCTTTCCTCGCCTGCCCAGATCAACCAGTTAAATTTGAGGCACAGTTATAAACCACAGAAAAGCAGATATCCCAGCCGGGTGGCATTGTGCAACCCTGGTAATGGGCACCGTCACTCAATCAGTCGTGACTACAGCCATGGTCCAGCACCACTTATTACACCGGGGTCTTGGCTGCTTCCAGCCCTGTGAGACAGCCAAAGTTTGAACCTGGGAAGAGTTCATTCACCAGTTGGAATCACATGGCAACTTCCAAAGCAATTCTCAGCTGTCAGCCTGCCCGTGCCTCGGGTTTTTTCCCCATAATGACTTGAATTTTCTCTATTTGGGCAAGTCCTGGGATGGCACCAGCTCTCCCCACCATCAGTCCCACCTACCTTACAGCCTGGCCTCATCTGGAGAAGGTGCAATTTGTAGACTCCTAGCTGAAAGTCACAGACCATAAGGTCAATTGAGCTCTCGCATGGCCAAGAGCCACAGTCCATATGGTCAACAAGACCCACGTACTCGCTTCTCAGAGGTCTTTTCACAGTCCATAGCAATAGGCCATTAAGAATGAACTATAACAACACATACTGGTGAACAGGCCGCTCAAGCTGATGAAAGGTTTACATTTCTATACATATAAAAAATATAGGGAGATTAACATATCTACAAATAGGTAGAAAAGATCTGTCTTCCTGTACATGCCTTAGTCTTTACAGTAGACACAAAAGAAACCTGAAGGAAGATCTTGCAACAGTCTCTCATCCAAATTCTCCAAGGTGCCGAGACCCATCACAACATGCTTGAACAACATCTTGGTAAAGAAACAAAAAACTTTATTTTGTAAAAGTTGGAGAAAATGTTTAAAAAACAAGCAAGTGAGGAGCTGTAAATAAGGTAAAACACTATCTCCAAATAGCAAACAACGCATCCCCGCCCCAGCTCCGATATAACACTCCCAAAGCAAGAACAGACTGTAGCCTGTGCTTCGGCAGAGGACATCTGGAGTTCAGAGCACATGCCAGGCATTGTCCTTCTGCTGGTGAGGGCTGTCCTTGCTGGAGGCTGGGCTGGTACGTCCAGATATCCCTGAGCACCAAGGGAGACTGCAGAGCTCAGACTTCCCCGGGAGGCAATAAGCATGCTGCCACCACAAACCCTGATGACGACCCATAACCACCAAAGAGAAGGAATAAACCATCAAGAGGAACCATCCGTCACCACCACAAAACAAGCATGTTTGCACACTATTGTCCACATTCAAGTGAAGAACAGGAGCCAGTCTGGAGCTCCCTGGAAGACCTCACACACTAGGGCTGAAATCCATGCCCAGGATAGTCCTATTCAGCAGTTACTGAAGTTTTTCTATTGCCATGATATTTGTTCACCCCAGAACTCAAAACACATTTGCCTTGTCAGACAGAAAAGCAAAACCCCAAACAATTTTTAAGATTTATAGTGGAGGGAGAGGGGAAGGGGGGAAGAAAACCAGGAAGATGGAGTACAGCCAAAGAGTATCTTCCAGTGGATCCTGAGCGAAGTTCAAGACCAAAGCAGCTGGTATCTGAATGCTGAGGAGTGGGACCTCTTCTCTTTGCTCAGCCACTCCAGCGGTGCTTTTCCCCAGGCTTTAGCTCCCTCTGTGGGACTCCGGGATGATCCTGCACCTGCTCAAAAGGAAGCACAGTTAAAATCCAGGACTGACCCATCTTCCTGCAGCCAGTGTGCACAAGTTTGCCCTGACCCAGGACAACAGGCTCACTGCAGCTCAAGCCACGGGGACATCACCTTGCAGCAGCTGGAAACAGGCACGAGGGACCCACTCCTAAAGTACAGCCAGGTACCCCAACCTCAGCCACCTTCAGAAACATCCAAGTTAAAATTCTCCAGTCCTGACAGGACAGAGTTCAGAGCCATCATCACAGACAACTGAGGCTGCAGGGAGAACTTCCCATGCGTACCAACACAGGGGCTATTGCCGATAGCTGGCCTTTACAGACCAGCACACTTCCCTGAACCCCTGGGAGCTTGGCGTGTAATTCTGTCGAGCTGCACATTCCTCCAAAAGCCTTTATCAGAGCTCTGTTATGGAAAAAGGCAAACTGAGAACAAGGAATCTATTTTGATCACTTTATTGGTTTTATTGGGGGGGTGGGGGTGGTGGTGTTTTGTTTTCCCTTAAGCCAAGTTGGTGACAATTCTACTTGCTCTCTTCAGGGCTGGCTCCAAAAAACTGAACACAGCACAATTCTAAGTCTCATAAAATTTAAGATTTACTGTCCTGCCTTTCTGCAGGAAGTTTTTAACATAGCTCTTCTTCCCAAGCCATGTGGGATTAACAAGAGGTTGAGCTAAAGGTTGCTACTTAGCTTTTAGAAGTTTAAAAGTGCCTTTTGAAAGAAGGAAAAACCTCTGAAAGTGATCTATGCCAGAGATAAGATGCTTGCATCTACCCTTCAAAGGCTCAAGGGATGCTAAAGAGCTGAGCCCCTCACAGCCCCATGAAATGGGCGAATGAGCTCTGGAGGGCTCCACCTTCCCATGTTTACACAGCCTGTGTACAAGGGGGCTTAAATATATTAATATAATAATAAAGTTAATGCCAAGTCTTCAAATTCAGGAAAAAACAGGACTCGCCTCTGCCTATAGTCTCATGAGATCGCTATCATTTAACTGTTCGGCATGCTGTTAAGATGACTAAAATTAAACTAGCAGGTTTTGAACAGCTGGGTGCCTGGAGCAGTGGAAGCCCGAGAGCTGCCCTCTCTCCCCCAGGCAATTCATGAGGCTCCTGTTCTCTTTGCAAAAACTTAAAAAGAACTGCCAATTGATTTTAAAAAATCCTTTGGTTTTTTGGGCTTTGTGGTCTGGGAGGACAAGACACAGATGTCCATGAGAGAGGTTACTCGGAGACCTACCACACCCAATACACAGCTAGCTTTCCAGGATGCTCAGCCCCTGCTGTGCCCAGCACCCAGACAGGCTTGCTGCCTTTGGCACTCAGCCCTTTTGAGGGGGGGTGAGCTGCAGGGTAAGTGTAACTGCAGAAGTACACAGGGCTTCATACCCTTCCTGAAGAGGCTGCGGTTCCCAGCACATCACAGCTTACACCTACCCAAGCAGTCAGGACAGCTGCTCTGGTTCTTGCCTCCTTCAGCTGCACTCTGCTACTGAAGAGAGTGCTATCAATATCTGCTTCACAGACAGCAGCCCACACAGCACCCCAACCGCTCTCAAATGGATTAAGTCTTGACACCCCTGTGTGCTCTGCAACTATCACTCATGAGGTCAAGTGCAAGGAAACAAGATGCTTACACAACTAGACCAATGCAAGGGCATCAGTGTCCAGTTTGTACCTGAAATGAAGAGCCTCTGTCAAGCTTTTGCTCCTATACATTTTCTACATAAGCTCAGATGAATCACCTTCCGTTTTCTTTTTACAACAATCAGCAGCAGGGACTGCATTGCCTTATGAGGAATACTTGAGGCACTAAATACATCTGAACTGTGTGGTACTGAAGAAACATATGTGTGCATGGTATTTTACATCAGAAGGAGCCACTAATTCCTCTTCTTCAGTTTTCACTGGTGTTCTGTCCTTGCGGGCCAGACAGCACTGCAGTCTATTTCCTCATTTTACAGGCGTGAGTAACAGACACCACCCCAGCTCGCAGGGAACAGGAGTGGATCAGTTCTATAAATGGTTTCACCCCAAAGGAGCATGACGGGGAGCTGCTGCAGAGTCCAACAGGGAAGCCCCACAGCAGCAACCTACCCCTGTCAACTGCTCACTGATAGCCGCTCCCCACCCCTCGCACCGTGAAGCTGTGCCCAGGCAGGGCAGGAGGAAAGGCTCACGCTGGATCTTTACCAAGAAAGAAGAGATCAACACCAAGCTGTAGGCAGCCCAGGCTCAGGTGCTGGAAAGCAGGGGTTTCATCCGCTCAGGGCCTGGCACATCCTTGTTCTTGGGGGGTTCGGGGCGCTGCCGGTAGCTGTTTGATCTTTGCAAAGGCCAATCCAACTCATCGCAGCGGCAACAGCAAATGGAGGAAAACAGCCGAGTCCGGACCACCCGCGTACAGAGGACAAACATAATACAGTTGGCACCTCCTTGGAACGTGTTACCAATTCCCTGCAAGGGCAAGAGAGGAATTAACCAGTGCTGTTCCTACAGGCACCCCCCAGCGAAGAGCAAACATCGTGTCAGGCCAGCTACAGTACTGCCCAACTGCCAGGCAGCAACTTCCACCTAAATGAGAAAAATAGATTCAGAAAAAATCAACCTTGCACCAAACAGCAGACCAGACGGCAGTTGTGGGTTGCCGTTTCTACAGCCCAGGCTAGGGGAGGAGCAGGCTGAGCCCTGCTGAAGGACAGACACCCAGTATTCCTGGTCTGAGCCTGCTTTTCCTACAAGCAGCCGGCATTGCCCAACACTCCTATTGCAATTATTCCCTGTAGCCACTAGATGCTGCTGAAATAGTTATTGCTGAGCATCCCAGACAGCACTTGCCAGCAGGGAGCAAGAGTTCTTCCAACACGCATGCTTTACTAGTATGCACTGCATCCAGGCACAAAAAAGTGATTTTAAAAGCAACAAAGCCTTATCTCCCTCCCAGATCCTCCTTCTTCTAATGCATTTCCTAGCAAATACTTACATGCAGAACAACCAGGACTGAATTTTGCACTGCAGGGGAGTTACAGAGGGTCAGAATGAATCGCACAGTGCTCCAGATGCGGAGGATGATAAAGATGACAGGGATGAGAATCAACTTCTTATCTGCTATGGAAGTCCGGGGCTGAAATGCAGGTGCTCTTGAGAGAATGGGGCGATACTCTGAGAGCGCTGCGTGCTTCCATGGAGGGTGGGAGGGAGACAAAAACGTGAACAAAAAGCTACATACATTGGACATTTAGCTCCAGGGATTCTTTCCAAAGCAAACTAAACTTTTGCATCTTGTGGGAAGTTAACAGGGACACAGTTATGAGCGCCCATCTTCATCTACATTCTGCCCTTGCTAACGCAAGCATTCCTGGTGAAGCCAAGGAGTGGCAAATAAAGGATATCCAGCCCTTATCAGAGTCCCACTAAAGCTTTATATTAACAAACATCACTAAGTAGTTGCCAAGAAACCAGGTCATAACAATATAAAAAAATAAAGCAGTGCTCCACAAAATAGTTTTGCTGGGCCAGTGGCCTGGCCCCATTGCTGCTGGCTTTACCGCTGTGTAAATGCATGGCTAAGGGTTTGGCCCTGGATAGGCCTCTTGAGATAGATATAGATAGAGAGAGAGATACATAGATATATATATACACACATATACAGAGAGAAATCTGGCTCATCCTTCTCAAACTACTCAAACTTTTGGCCTTCAACACAGCCACAGCCAGCTCCACAAGGCATTTATGCCCATGTGAACCAGTCTTTCAGTATGTTTGTGTAGAGCCTGCTGCCTGATGTCTGACCGTATACTGTCAGCAATGGGCTTCCATGGATTTGGACAAGCCAGCAAACCCTTCTATATCAGCACATATAAAAAAAATCAGGGATCTGTGCCCTGGATCACGGTGGCTGGAGGTGTAAGGCCCATGAGACCTTCCTACGGTAGAAGCTGCTGGATGCACTCAGATTCCTGGATGGGGGGAACAGATCAACACAGCACAGAGCAGCTGCTGGGATACACGATGCTGAATACCAGGATGTTAACGTGGGTGAAGAGATTAAATCTCAGGATAGCTGACCTGCAGAAAACTACTCCTCCTACTATCAGGGCTACAGAGCCCTCACAGCTTTGAGGCGTAGTATTCTCCTTCACTCCAGTACTCCCAGTCCTGACGCTATTTCCTCCAGAACAGAGCTGTATGACAACACTGCACAGTGGCTTGAGCCAAACCCCACCGAGGGCTTTCAGTGCACCTTCCCATCCACTCCCATGAAGTCTTTTCCATTTGGAAAGCCCCTAGTACACACCCTGCATGTCCCCCGCAACAGCCACTTCCATAATTTCTCCTGCCTCTCAGGCTGTGCAGGAGCCACTCCTGCAAAACCCACTTCAGCCGTTAATACGGCCCAAACCCAGCCCTGGTTGCCTATTGCTCTCCCTTGGAAGTGGGAGACCTCCTGCAGTAAAGAGGTTTAGCAAGCAGGCTACCAGGCTTGGCAAAATCCCTAGTGGCAAGAAGATGCTCCAGTCCAGAAAGCCCTGTGTGCTGCTGCTCCAGCCCTCAGACCCCCATTAAGAGAAGAGAGTGAGAGCTGCCTGCCCTCGGCACTGTTCCTGCACGAGGGTCAGGGCTGGAGCGGGGAAGGGAGAGCCGCGTGCCCAAGAATCCCTGGCAGAGCAGGAGGGAAGGAGCCTGGCCGGGTGGCCGGTCGGGTTTCCAGGCAGTCACACTGCTATCTTTGACAGCTGCTGGAACACAGCGTCCTGTCTGATTTATGTCGGGCGATGGTGACGGGCACTAGCAAACCCTTCCCAGCTCCCCTTTCTCAGGACCATGCTGTTCTTCCAACTTGTCTGCAGGATCCTGCCCTAACCTAACTGTGTTCATCCCCAACTACAACTGCCATAGCTGCACCACAGCAAGCAGATTTGCAGTGGCAGCGTTTTCCAGAAGGACATCTATCCAGATGGGGGGGCTTTTTCCCCTAATACAACTTAGAAAAGAGGACTCTCCAGATGTAGTTCCTTCTGCTCCTCTTGATCTAGATTTCTCTATTATGCAAATGTCCTAGATGCCTGGATTCTTTGTGTTCACAAGAAACAGCAGTAAATAAGCCTCTGAATTCTGAAACCCTCCTAGGACAGGGTGCCTTCCCATACCATATATGCATATAGTACCTAATGCTATAGTGCCCAGACTCCCAAATGCGGCTTTACACTGCTAGTACAAAACAGGTACTCATAAACGCAAACTATCATTAGAGATCCTAAAATGACCGAGGTTAGGCATGTCCAGATGCCAAACTCAGGCTTGGTATGTGTGGAACTGTGGAAGACTGATTAAAGCTGAATTTTGCCCTTCACATCCTCTTTCAGTTCTTACTGTAGGATTTACATTTCACTCATGTACATCCCATAACCCCTTAAGTTGTCAAAGGGCTTTTACATTCTTCTTGTGCTAAGTCATCATGTAACGATGCTGCAGGCTGCTCAATCAGGTGTACTGCTTCTCCCAGCAGTGGGTGCATTTTAGCAGTATATGAAGCAATTCCTGCCCGTGTAGCTGCTAAATATGCAGCAAAATCTTCAGAGCATGGGAGGATATAATCACATAGCAAGTCTGTAACCTAAGCTGAAAGCAGCAAAATACTCACCGCTCTATTAATGTGCTTCTTGATGAGAATGTAGAGCACTGGCAAAGTCACATAGGCCAGCATCTCCCAAACTTTCCCCGTTAATAACATCCACAAGACCCGATCCTCTGCATCCAAGTTGACCCAACACCAGCCCACAGAAACATTGGAGGCATCATAGCCAATCTTCTTCAGAGCAACAGCAGCCACTGTAATGCCAAGGGGGACGCCCCAGCTGAGGAAAGAACATGAAGAGTACGGTTAAGCCAAGAACATACTCAGTTTAGTCCTTCCACACCCCAGGGAAAATGGGTGACAAACGAAGGGATTCTTCACCAGACAGGAGGCCAATACCTATTCCAGAACATCAAACACTCCTGCATCAGGCTTAAGGGAAGTGACTGACAGAGATTTGACAACATATGAATGCGGACTGCAAATCCACTTCTTAGGGATCCACTCTAGGAACTGGGATCCCCAGTCCTGAAGGACAGATGCATAATGATGTGCTACATCCTGAACTGGAACCTGGCCCGCACAGCAAGCCATCAGTGTCCAGCAAGGTGAACAGGAGACATCCCACCTACTCCCCTTCTCCCATTCCCTCCTGGATACAGGTGAGGTCGAGGATTCGGCAAGGCCAGAGCATCGTACAGTGTGACTATCCTGTAGGACCCAGCCATTCAAGAGCGAGCTGGCTGATTCACAGCTTTCAGAACACAAGCAACCACATCCCACATTCCGATTCCTAAGTGACACTTGGCACAACAGACCAGCACACAAAGAAATCCACAACTTTATGCCATCAGGGTTTGTTTTGTTTTTAAATGGAGGTGTAGTCAATATTTTGGGAGCAAAAAGATAATTTCTGAAACACAAAGGGCAAGTTTCTTCCCAAGGAAAAACACCAGCAGTAACAGCAAAAAGCAGAGAGTCATCATATTCACATAATTTGGAGCTGTGTTTTGACTTTGGCTTCTCTCTTGACAGCAGAGGCAAATACAGGGAAGCATTTAGAAGAAAAATAACTGTGGTGACACATGTTAAGTTGCTCAGCAGCTTGGGCTGCCCACAAAAAAAAAACATGAGCAAGAACCGAAAAATTCCCTAAGCCCAAATGTAAAAGTAGTTAGCCCCTTCCTGGGTGCTGTTAACAACCAGGACTTTACAGGCCTGCCCTAGCATATGACGTACAACTCGCAAATTACTCCGCAACTGAAATCCTGCCCTGCATTCAACTGAGTGCATCACCTGCCCTTCCCGTAGCCATCCTCAGAGAAAGGTTCTGTGGAGCCTTAAGAGGGACAAGGGACATTTCCCCAGTAAATGGCACAAACGCTTCAGAGCGCTCAGACTGAGCTCGCAGCGTAACCCTCCCGGTCTCTCCAGATGCAAAGAAAACAAAGGCATTACTGTATTGCTCTCGTTACCCTCCTGGTTCACACTCGTCTTTCACAGGCAGCCTGGAGCAGCTGCAGAGAACGTGAAAAGGATCTTCCTCCTAAAATCTGTTTCACATGCCTCAGACTACGTAGGCAAAAGCAGTTGCCTAGGCCAGATTATCTGAAATTCCACAGCCCAATTGAAAAATCAGAGATAATCCCATGATATTAGATCTCAAAAATACCTCATTTCCTACTCTTAAACAATGTCTGGGCTCACTTACTCACAAAACTAAACAAGCATAAATATAACGCTGTAAAAAAAGTCAGAGTCCTCCCTTCAGCGTGTCTAGAACATTTTGTTTCAACGTTCGGTTCAGAACAGCCAGTGCTAACCCAAGCCAGCGTTGTTACTTAAGAACGGCCCTGCTGCAGGAAGCCCTCCCCGTGCTATTATTATCGGAGCAGGCTTTCCAAAACCATTCCAAACATCACCACCACCACGAAAGCTTCTACGCAACTCAAGACTCAGTTTGGAAAAAATGATGATTTGCCTGAAACCAAGGCTTACAGATGCCAAGACATTCAAATTTCAGTACGCTTGGAAGAGCTGGCCACTAAGGTAAAGAATTCAAGGGAACTGGCACTTGCTTAGGGAAACCACATTAAGGCACAGAAGCACAAATGAGTCCAGCACCAAGAAAAAGGAAGTGTATTAAAAACTAATTTGCCAAAATAGTGATCTCCATGGTGACCTGAAACCGAAAGAGAATTATATGAGAAGATAAACCCAGGTCAAATTGCGAGGCATGGATATAGAAGAGAACAGCATAAGTACGTACAGGCACAGCGAGAGAGGCCACAGTAGGAAATAACAGAGCTCTAGGCAAGGGACTTAAAAAATCTTCAGGTATCTAGCTAGTAAAAGGAAGAATGTGGAAGACCACTGCCACACCTCAGGCAGTTAATTTTCACTGAAGTAGTGCATGGGGATCAGATGGCTATTACCACTAACACCAAGGACAAAGGATTGCAAACTGAAAAGTGAAGTTAGAGAGAATCTAGAAAGTAAACAGACATTTCAGCGAACTTCTTCAGCTCCATTTTAGAAAACTGGGAAGGAGAACTGAGAGTAGTGATTTGATTATTCTTAAGAACCCCTAAATGACAGATTTCCAAGGACTAGAAAATATCAATGTTATATACCCACCCAGAAGAATGGAGGAACAGAAGAATCACAATATTACACACCCAAGGCATATGTAAAAACTGGAATAAAAAGGATTCAAGATAACACAGAGGCAGAAACTTTACTCTGAGCAAAGACAATGCAGTTACATAGGTTGGGCCTCTCAAAAGCACACTTGGGTCTAAACACAATCAATGGGGGAGGAGAAGGGAAAGAAGGCGACTCCGTGCATCTGTCGGAAGGCTGGCAATCCCATCTCTAAGGCACGTACAACAGTACTTGTTTCCCCAACATGGCCCCCAGCAATCTATTAATAAAAATACATACAGCCCGGCATAACTCTCCATATTAATACCAATGCTGCATTTATACAAGGTAGGACAAGGGCCTTTAAACTATACCAGTGTACAGCTCAAGTTGTGTTGGTTTTCTTGTCCTCAGGATGCCCGGGTCAGATTGCTTAATACCACATTTGATTTACGCTGCACAGCTGCTTTTTTTTCCCCCAGAGGCTCATAGGAGCAGGGAAGACTCGCAGTCACCTGCCTGCACAGGTTAGACAACGAGCCATCCTACCAGCAAGCCTGCAGGCAATTCCTTCTGGGAAGAGGGATTTTTACTCTGTAAGAGGAAAAAAGAAAAAAAAAAATCAGTCTTCTGGATATACCAGCCAATTTCAGGAAAGAGCTTTGAGCATACATTGGAAGCAGAACTCCAGACCAAATCTGCTCCAATTTAATTTTTTTCCTTTTTTTTTAATCCACTCGAATGTTAAAATGAGTTTGCAGTACCAAAGTACCAACTTCTGGTACCAAGCAGAGACTCCTCCCAGAGAAGCCTGCAAGAACGTAAAAGCTAAGGCACCAGCAGTCAGGTAGCTCACACTTTGGTTGGCCTGACTGACAAGCTTTTATAAACTAAATGATAAAGCCACAGCAAATTTCAAGAGCTCCCTGCACCTTACAGGAAACACTTAGGGATTTAAGTCCAGTTTGAAGTTTAGCACTGTCACAATCACGCGTGAGGTAGCCCACTGAGGACCCAGATGTACAGCACAGCAGCACACGAGAGGATCCCCAGGTGCTCCATGGACACGCATATATATGCATGGTTATAAACATATATGTGTATATATAAGTATATATATACACTTACAGTGCATGCACACACTCTACACACACACTCTCTCTCTATATATATATAACTACACACACTTTTTTAATACATGTATATAAAAGCATATGTGCTTATAGCCATCTGCATAGCCTGATGATAAAATGCAAATACTTCAGAGTTTGACAGCCATTGCTATCAACAGCAAAGCAAGAAACAATCCCAAGGTGGGCTCTGGTCCATCCCTCCCCCCGGGCTTGGATCAGCTACTCTCACAGCAAAGATGAGATTATCCATCTAAATGATACTTGATATTTAGAAAACCAGAACAAGTGAGGCAGCCTGGAAATTTACACTCTGGATGCCAGAACTTACACCTAACAACTACATAAATATTTTCAAAGCTAACTGTAAGCTTGTTTTCAAAACACATCTGAGCTCAACACAAGTTTAAAAACAAACCAGAGCCTGTAGTTCTCCAGTCCAGCAGCAGTAAAGGTGGATGTGTTACCACATGAATAAGGAACAAACCTGTTTGACAGGTGACATCCTCATTTCCCTAAAAGAAAACTTCAGGTACTGACTTCTAACATATATTTAGTCAGCTCCACTCAGCCCAAGAACAAACAGTCTCTCGTTATTGGTTATACTCATCATCAAAAGAGCATTCATCCTTACCAACGCTTGCCCCTTATGAGTAACTGCTCATGAAGGATAGGAAGCAGGCATGACAAAACTCCGTCGTGCCTCGAAGCCCTCCCAGGGGCGTCTCTCGGGATGACTCTTTGCACAATGGTCGCTGCATGACTGCATTAACAACCCATGAAGCGAGGAGGCGGCGGGGGGAATCCCAGGCTCTTGCCTAGACAAGAATACTGGAAACTTATCTTTAAGCCCTTCAAGCATCACCTGCCCTTTGCCACCTTTCCTTCTGCCCTAGACCGGTCTCCCCCACCTACCTTCAGCAATGAATGGAGGAACTGCTGCAACTGATAGGAAAAGATACTAGTCCTTATCTGCCTGGTACTGAAAGATTTTTAGGCTACCAGCCCCACAGATAGCCAGTAGGACTTTGAAGCACTGAAAAGCACAAGGGGGAGCCATCTCCAAGCATTATGCCCAGAATCTGATTTTATGATCGAGTTCTCAGGTAATGATAAAAGTGCAGGGAAGGCAAGAAGGAAGATGTGTCACAAGGGGATGGGCAGAGAACAGGTCCTCACTTGTCTTCTCCGGCTTCTCATACAGATCATAAAGCAGTAAGAAGCTTTAAACACTGGCTCTGGACAGAATGGGAATCATTTACGAAGCAGAACCCAGCAACAGGTCTTTGATGAAAGCTATCTATATTGCCCTTTAAACAGAGCAAGTGGAACTGATGGATACCAAGAACAGAAGATGGCATTTTATTTTTACTGCAAAGACCTGAAAATAAACCTAGCAAATTCACCCAGAGAAAGTTCAGTTTGAACACTCCCTCCTCTCTATCATAAGGTTAGAGCAACCTTTCAGGATTTTTACAGTTTTAAAAGAGCGCACAGATTACGGCCGACGTTATTTTAGTGAATCTGCCTGTGTCTTTCCGCACTTTGTAGCCGAGGAGGCTGAGAAGCATTAAACCAGATGGAGAAGTTAAAGTACAGACAAAGGCCACGCAACAAGTGATTAGCAGACAGGAAAATTACAAATAGGCCAGATTTGCATCAACTCTTTGATGTAGCCTGATGCAGACAGCATGCCCGTAAAGAAGTCAGACTCCTTTTTTCTGTTCCTTAAGCAACATGTGGCTCTTCACTGGCGCTCCATCCTCTCCGTAATTCTTACAGCGCAACTCCCTGTTCACTTGAAATGAAATAACCTAACAAGCTCCACTGTCTCACTGCATCTTATTTCAACTGCACCTCCCTGGTGCACCCAGATGCACACGTAGTCACCTCCGGCTTCCCCACATGCAGACCTTGCGGTCAGGCAGTAACTAGAACAGGTAGGGCAGGAATTGAAATTCCTCCCCAGTTCACACTTAGCCTTAATGTCTTTCTCGGGCCCACCCTTACCCAGACTCAACTCTAATTCAATCATCTCCCAAATTATGCTGTTTGAAAATAAAAGGTGACAAATATTCAACTAAGAAACTAAAGAAAATTCAGCACTTGCCCTGATGGTTTGTTTTTTTTTTTAAACCAGACCATTCCTCTTATAATTTACTGCAAAACCCTGGCAGCACAGAGGACTGAAGGATCACTGTTTTGCTCCGGGTGGAAGTAGCACATGATTCCACAAGCTCAAATTGCATAATGAAAGCTCTTACTAAACACGATGTGGAAAATCAGCTCGCTAAATAGCAGAAACTGAGACATAAAGCTATGGTCTGTTTTGCCTTGCTTTCAATCAAACATGCCAAAACCAAGAGTGCTTTTCCAACAGCCTCCTCGCTTGTAGGCTACGTTCTCCTACAAATATTGAATTACAGCAACCTGCCTGGGGAAAGGGGAAGGATCCACAGAGCAGGCTGCCACCGGGCAGTCAGGGAGCTCTGCAAACAGACCCCCAAACACAGGAGTTTTGGCAGCAGCCACAGGTACTGCAAACACGAGTTTCGTGATACTATTTCTAGGACATCGGAGCAGATTGTGGAGGGAAAGCAGAAGCCAGGATTTTCAGAGTCTTTATCTCTTGCCAGAGATTCTTCTATGTGACCTTAAGCAAGTAATTTTTAAGTTTTCCACATCTCTTTCTTCACTTGTGAGGCAAGGGGGGAAATAAGCAGGGCTGTTTACTTAAAAGACAGCAAAATCCCTGTTTTAAAGGAACTCGAGAAGGACACGCTATCCTTAAGAAAAGAGCAGGTGACTCGAGCAACCATCCAAGCGCTTTGTGGCGGAGGGGAGCGTGCCGCAGGCAGCGGCGGGGGCTCCTGGGCACGGGGTGGGTGCCTGCGGGGTCCGCACCTCGCGCTCTCCCGGGAAGGGCGGACAGCACCCACCTCACGGCATGGAAGCAGCAGAGCAAGCCTGGGCCTGTGGGCGAGCCCCTCACGATGGTGATATAGAGGTAGAAGGCAATGGCCATGGTCCAGAAGAAGGAGCTGGTGTTGGAGAAGGTGGACAGGGCGCCCTGCAGCACGCAGTCCCAGGAGGTCCTGTCGAAGTCCTGTAGCACCCCGTAGAAGTACGAGAGGGCTGAGAGGAGGTCCGCCAGCGACAGATAGAGCAGGAGCTGGCGGGGACGGGTCCGCAGCTCCGGCCACAGGGCATGGGTGCAGACCAGGAGGCTGGATCCCAGGAAGGAAAGCACGCAGGAGACCAGCACGACGACCCGCTCCGAGGCGTACAGCTCGGTGGGGGGCAGCGGCCCGGGCATGCCGCAGGCAGGGCACCGGCAGGCGGCCCCGGTCCCAGAGGAGCCGCGGGAGGCCGGGAGCGGAGGCGAA